ACACATGTATGTACTACAGTCAGACATGTATGTCCTACAGTCACACATGTACTACAGTCAGACATGTACTACAGTCAGACATGTACTACAGTCACACATGTACTACAGTCAGACATGTACTACAGTCAGACATGTACTACAGTCACACATGTACTACAGTCACACATGTACTACAGTCACACATGTATTACAGTCACACATGTACTACAGTCAGACATGTATGTACTAGTCACACATGTACTACAGTCAGACATGTGTGTACTAGTCACACATGTACTACAGTCAGACATGTATGTACTAGTCACACATGTACTACAGTCAGACATGTATGTACTAGTCACACATGTACTACAGTCAGACATGTATGTACTACAGTCACACATGTACTACAGTCGGATATGTACTACAGTCAGACATGTATGTACTAGTCACACATGTACTACAGTCAGACATGTATGTACTACAGTCACACATGTACTACAGTCAGACATGTATGTACTAGTCACACATGTACTACAGTCAGACATGTACTACAGTCAGACATGTATGTACTACAGTCAGACATGTACTACAGTCACACATCTATATACTACAGTCACACATGTACTACAGTCAGACATGTATGTCCTACAGTCAGACATGTATGTACTACAGTCACACATGTACTACAGTCACACACGTACTACAGTCACACATGTACTACAGTCAGACATGTATGTACTACAGTCACACATGTACGACTACAGTCACACATGTACTACAGTCAGACATGTATGTACTACAGTCACACATTTACTAAAGTCAGACATGTATGTACTAGTCACACATGTACTACAGTCAGACATGTATGTACTAACGTCAGACATGTACTACAGTCAGACATGTATGTACTACAGTCACACATGTATGTACTACAGTCACACATGTACTACAGTCAGACATGTATGTCCTACAGTCACACATGTACTACAGTTAGACATGTACTACAGTCAGACATGTACTACAGTTACACATGTACTACAGTCAGACATGTACTACAGTCACACATGTACTACAGTCAGAAATGTATTACAGTCACACATGTACTACATTCACACATGTACTACAGTCACACATTTACTATAGTCCCACATGTACTACAGTCATACATGTACTACAGTCAGACATGTACTACAGTTACACATGTACTACAGTCAGACATGTATGTACTACAGTCACACATGTACTACAGTCAGACATGTATGTACTACAGTCACACATGTACTACAGTCAGACATGTATGTACTACAGTCACACATGTACGACTACAGTCACACATGTACTACAGTCAGACATGTATGTACTACAGTCACACATGTACTACAGTCAGACATGTATCTACTAGTCACACATGTACTACAGTCACACATGTACTACAGTCAGACATGTATGTACTAACGTCAGACATGTACTACAGTCAGACATGTATGTACTACAGTCACACATGTATGTACTACAGTCACACATGTACTACAGTCAGACATGTATGTCCTACAGTCACACATGTACTACAGTCAGACATGTACTACAGTCAGACATGTACTACAGTTACACATGTACTACAGTCAGACATGTATTACAGTCACACATGTACTACATTCACACATGTACTACAGTCACACATTTACTATAGTCCCACATGTACTACAGTCACACATGTACTACAGTCAGACATGTACTACAGTCAAATATGTACTACAGTCACACATGTACTACAGTCACACATGTACTACAGTCACACATGTACTACAGTAAGACATGTATTACAGTCACACATATACTACATTCACACATGTACTACAGTCATACATGTACTACAGTCACACATATACTACATTCACACATGTACTACAGTCATACATGTACTACAGTCACACATGTACTACAGTCACACATGTACTACAGTCACACATGTACTACAGTCCCACATGTACTACAGTCACACATGTACTACAGTCATACATGTACTACAGTCACACATGTACTACAGTCACACATGTACTACAGTCAGACATGTATGTACTAGTCACACATGTACTACAGTCAGACATGTATGTACTAGTCACACATGTACTACAGTCAGACATGTATGTACTAGTCACACATCTACTACAGTCAGACATGTACAGTATGTACTAGTCACACATGTACTACAGTCAGACATGTACTACAGTCAGACATGTATGTACTAGTCACACATGTACTACAGTCAGACATGTATGTACTACAGTCACACATGTACTACAGTCAGACATGTACTACAGTCAGACATGTATGTATTAGTCACACATGTACTACAGTCAGACATGTATGTACTACAGTCACACATGTACTACAGTCAGACATGTATGTCCTACAGTCAGACATGTACTACAGTCAGACATGTATGTACTACAGTCACACATGTACTACAGTCACACACGTACTACAGTCACACATGTACGACTACAGTCACACATGTACTACAGTCAGACATGTATGTACTACAGTCACACGTGTACTACAGTCAGACATGTATGTACTAGTCACACATGTACTACAGTCACACATGTACTACAGTCAGACATGTATGTACAACGTCAGACATTTACTACAGTCAGACATGTATGTACTACAGTCACACATGTATGTACTACAGTCACACATGTACTACAGTCAGACATGTATGTCCTACAGTTACACATGTACTACAGTCAGACATGAACTACAGTCACACATGTACTACAGTCAGACATGTATTACAGTCACACATGTACTACATTCACACATTTACTATAGTCCCACATGTACTACAGTCATACATGTACTACAGTCAGACATGTACTACAGTCACACATGTACTACAGTCAGACATGTACTACAGTCAAATATGTACTACAGTCACACATGTACTACAGTCAGACATGTACTACAGTCACACATGTACTACAGTCACACATGTACTACAGTCAGAAATGTACTACAGTCACACATGTACTACAGTCACACATGAATTACAGTCATACATGTACTACAGTCACACATGAATTACAGTCATACATGTACTACAGTCACACATGAATTACAGTCACACATGTACTACAGTCAGACATGTATTACAGTCACACATGTACTACATTCACACATTTACTATAGTCCCACATGTACTACAGTCATACATGTACTACAGTCAGACATGTACTACAGTCACACATGTACTACAGTCAGACATGTACTACAGTCAAATATGTACTACAGTCACACATGTACTACAGTCAGACATGTACTACAGTCACACATGTACTACAGTCACACATGTACTACAGTCAGAAATGTACTACAGTCACACATGTACTACAGTCACACATGAATTACAGTCATACATGTACTACAGTCACACATGTACTACAGTCAGAAATGTACTACAGTCACACATGTACTACAGTCCATCCATCCATCCATTGTCTACCCTTTAATCCATTTCTGGGTCAGGGGGGTGGCAGTCAGAGATGCCACCCAAGTCTCATAGCACCAGCCCCTTACTGACCCTCTGCAGGTGGTGAGTCCACAGGAGGACGGCTGCTCTCTGACTGTGAGCATAGCCTTGATCTTTCAGTGGGGGCTTTGGGCAAAGTGGGGTTAAGTGTCTTGCCCAAGGACACAACGACAGCAGTCATCAGTGGTACATCATGTACTACAGTCACACATGAATTACAGTCACACATGTACTACAGTCAGAAATGTACTACAGTCACACATGTACTACAGTCACACATGAATTACAGTCACACATGTACTACAGTCACACATGAATTACAGTCACACATGTACTACAGTCAGACATGTACTACAGTCACACATGTACTACAGTCACACATGTACTACAGTCACACATGTACTACAGTCAGACATGTACTACAGCCGCTCATGTACTACAGTCACACATGTACTACAGTCACACATGTACTACAGTCACACATGTACTACAGTCACACATGTACTACAGTCAGACATGTATTACAGTCACACATGTACTACAGTCAGACATGTATTACAGTCACACATGTACTACAGTCAGACATGTACTACAGTCACACATGTACTACAGTCACACATGTACTACAGTCACACATGTACTACAGTCACACATGTATTACAGTCACACATGTACTACAGTCAGACATGTACTACAGTCACACATGTACTACAGTCTGACATTTGTTGAATGTTAGTTTCCTTTTTACGTTTATGCTTTTGTTTTATAACTTGTTTTATGACCTGATTATCACTTGTTTGCTCCTTGAGTCAAAGCAAATTCGAAGTGTGTCACTTCCTGTTACGTACAGCCAATAAACATGCTCATGATTATTTGAACATTTCACGAATGAAAGATAAATACATAACTAATATCAATATATAAACATTATAGAATGAAAACATTTACATTGAAAACTTAAAAAAAATCATTTTAATTAATTATAGTTACATCTCTATTCAATATAAGTATTTACTTCAAACTTAAAGCATAATATAAAACACACACGCACACAAACAAACACACGCACGCACAGACACACGCACACACGCACGCACGCACACACACACAGACACACACGCATACACACACACACAAACACACACGCATACACACACACACAAACACACGCACGCACGCACACACACAAACACATACACACACACACGCGCAAGCACGCCTGGATTTTCCAGGTACGTTAATGACGTCATCCCTCCAACATCTCGTCCCAACTGGCGAAGGGAAGTCCCGCCTCCCGTACCGACGCAGCGCTCTCTGATTGGCCCAGACCTCTGCCTCTCACGCACACTCCGCTGGGCCCGTGCACGTCAGGTGAAACTTGTCCCGTGAGAACCATTGGAATCCAGCGCACTCCCGCAAACACACCCCGCACTTTGCACCAACTTTACACCGACTTCTGCGCACTTTCTGCGGCAGCGGAGCGACCATGAAGAGCCTCAAGTCCAGGCTCAAGAAGCACGAAGTCAACCTCTCGGTGAGTGCAGCTCTGTTGTGTTGTTGGTTACGCTCCAGACCCGGTCCCAGTCCAGTCTCAGCTCCAATCCCAGTCCCAGTCCAGTCCCAGCTCCAGTCCCAGTCCCAGTCCAGTCCCAGCTCCAGTCCCAGTCCCAGTCCAGTCCCAGCTCCAGTCCAGTCCCATGTCCTGGGACACTCGTGCTCATTCTTGCCCCTTCTGTTGCTGTTACGCGTATGTTTTTTATGTGTGTTGTGTACGTGTGTGGTGTGTGTGTTGTATGTACGCCCGCGTGTGTACGTGTGTGTATGTGTGTGTATATATGTGTGTGTATGCGTGTGTGTGTGTATATCTGTGTACGTGTAAATGTGTATATGTGTGTGTATATTGTATATATTGCGCTCGCTTTGCTCCAGTCCTTGTGGAGAAGCGGAAGTTTGGTCTGACCCCGGCACCTGCCCCGGATGGATGCCTGGATGGGGCTCTTCTGGTGGGGGCAGTCTGTGCGCAGGTCCCATGTTGTCAACGAGCCTCTTCTCTCGCTTCTCCTCTCTCCTCTCCTCCCTCTCCTCTCTCCTCCTCTCTCCTCCTCCTCTCTCCTCTCCTCTCCTCTCCTCTCCTCTCTCCTCTCCTCCTCTCCTCTCTCTCTCTCCTCTCCCTCTCCTCCTCCCTCTCCCTTCCTCTCTCTCCTCTCCTCCCTCCCTCTCCTCTCTCTCCTCCCTCTCTCCTCCTCTCTCTCCCTCCCACTCTCCTCCTCTCTCTCCTCCCTCTCTCTCCTCCCTCTCTCTCCCTCTCCTCTCTCTCCTCTCTCCTCTCCTCTCTCTCCTCCCTCTCCTCTCTCTCCTCTCTCTCCTCCTCTCTCTCCTCTCCTCTCTCCTCTCCTCCCTCTCCCCCCCTCTCTCTCCCCCCCCTCTCTCTCCTCTCTCTCCTCCCTCTCCTCTCTATCCTCCCTCTCCTCTCTCTCCTCTCTCTCCTCCCTCTCCTCTCTCTCCTCTCTCTCCTCTCTCTCCTCTCTCTCCTCTCCTCTCTCCTCTACTCCCTCTCCCCCCTCTCTCTCCTCCCTCTCTCCTCTCTCTCTCTCTCTCCTCTCTCTCCTCCCTCTCCTCCCTCTCCCTCTCTCTCCTCTCTCTCCTCCCTCTCCTCCCTCTCCTCTCTCTCCTCTCTCTCTCCTCCTCTCTCCTCCTCTCTCCTCTCTCTCCTCTCTCTCCTCTCTCTCCTCTCTCTCCTCTCTCTCTCTCTCCTCCTCCCTCTCCTCTCTCTCCTCTCTCTCCTCTCTCCTCTCTCTCTCTCTCTCCTCCCTCTCTCTCTCTCTCTCCTCCCTCTCCTCTCTATCCTCCCTCTCCTCTCTCTCCTCTCTCTCCTCCCTCTCCTCTCTCTCCTCTCTCTCCTCTCTCTCCTCTCTCTCCTCTCTCCTCTCTCTCCTCTCTCCTCTACTCCCTCTCCCCCCCCTCTCTCTCTCTCTCCTCTCTCTCCCTCTCTCTCCTCCCTCTCCTCCCTCTCCTCTCTCTCCTCCCTCTCCTCCCTCTCCTCTCTCTTCTCTCTCTCCTCTCTCCTCTCCTCCCTCTCCCCCCCTCTCTCTCTCCCCCCTCTCTCTCCTCTCTCTGACTCTGAGACCCCAGACCTCAGTATAGTTTCTTTGCAGTATAGTATGGTCCATGTGGTTCATTTAATCATATGTTACATGTAAATATCAGTGGATGTCCATGTTTTAATATGAATCCTCACATCAGATTCATGTGTATCACATGTTAGAATGTGTATCACATGTTAGAATGTGTATCACATGTTAGAATGTGTATCACATGTTAGAATGTGTATCATATGTAAAGAATGTGTATCACATGTTAGAATGTGTATCACATGTTAGAATGTGTATCACATGTTAGAATGTGTATCACATGTTAGAATGTGTATCACATGTTAGAATGTCCCTCTGGCAGAAGATATCGGTCGCTGAGATGCAAGACATCTCGCTATGCTAACAGCTTCTTTCCACAAGCTGTTAGGTGCCTAAACAGAGCACTTTAATTCCTGCTTTTACCCCTTGTATCGTTTTGTTGATCGGTGCCACAGTGTCAGCTGTTTTTTTTTTTAATTCTTTTATATTCAGTGTATGTGTATTTTATATTACATTGTATCATGTTCTTTATTCTGTCGGTGCACACAGAGTACCTTTCTTTGCAAATGTATTCCAATGTAGTTTTTATACTGCACATGGCCAATAAAATGAATCTGAATCTGAATCTGATGTTAGAATGTGTATCACATGTTAGAATGTGTATCACATGTTAGAATGTGTATCACATGTAAAGAATGTGTATCACATGTTAGAAGTGTATCACATGTTAGAATGTGTAATCACATGTTAGAATGTGTAACGTGTATCACATGTGAGAATGTGTATCACATGTTAGAATGTGTATCACATGTGAGAATGTGTATCACATGTTAGAATGTGTATCACATGTTAGAATGTGTATCACATGTGAGAATGTGTATCACATGTTAGAATGTGTATCACATGTAACGTGTATCACATGTGAGAACGTGTATCACATGTTAGAACGTGTATCACATACGTGTATCACATGTTAGAATGTGTATCACATGTGAGAACGTGTATCACATGTGAGAACGTGTATCACATGTGAGAACGTGTATCACATGTGAGAACGTGTATCACATGTGAGAACGTGTATCACATGTGAGAACGTGTATCACATGTGAGAACGTGTATCACATGTGAGAACGTGTATCACATGTGAGAACGTGTATCACATGTTAGAACGTGTATCACATGTGAGAATGTGTATCACATGTGAGAATGTGTATCACATGTTAGAATGTGTATCACATGTGAGAACGTGTATCACATGTGAGAATGTGTATCACATGTGAGAACGTGTATCACATGTGAGAATGTGTATCACATGTGAGAATGTGTATCACATGTGAGAATGTGTATCACATGTGAGAATGTGTATCACATGTGAGAATGTGTATCACATGTAAGAATGTGTATCACATGTGAGAATGTGTATCAGATGTAAAGAATGTGTATCACATGTGAGAATGTGTATCAGATGTAAAGAATGTGTATCACATGTGAGAATGTGTATCACATGTAAAGAATGTGTATCACATGTAAAGAATGTGTATCACATGTAAAGAATGTGTATCACATGTTAGAATGTGTATCACATGTAAAGAATGTGTATCACATGTAAAGAATGTGTATCACATGTTAGAATGTGTATCACATGTAAAGAATGTGTATCACATGTAAAGAATGTGTATCACATGTTAGAATGTGTATCACATGTTAGAATGTGTATCACATGTAAAGAATGTGTATCACATGTAAAGAATGTGTATCACATGTTAGAATGTGTATCACATGTAAAGAATGTGTATCACATGTTAGAATGTGTATCACATGTAAAGAATGTGTATCACATGTTAGAATGTGTATCACATGTAAAGAATGTGTATCACATGTAAAGAATGTGTATCACATGTTAGAATGTGTATCACATGTAAAGAATGTGTATCACATGTTAGAATGTGTATCACATGTAAAGAATGTGTATCACATGTAAAGAATGTGTATCACATGTAAAGAATGTGTATCACATGTTAGAATGTGTATCACATGTAAAGAATGTGTATCACATGTGAGAAACAGGACGTCACACTTTTAGCTTTTGCTCGAGGAGTAAACAAGTTCTAAAAGTGAAATAGATAAAAACAGGAAACAAAGTTTCTTAAAATAACGTGTACAGTAGTTTATCAGAGACTTTACAAAACTTTATTCAGACACAGAGAGACCACATGGTATTGGTCCGTAGAGCGAGACCACATGGTATTGGACCATAGGGAGAGACCACATGGTATTGGTCCGTAGAGCGAGACCACATGGTATTGGTCCGTAGAGAGAGACCACATGGTATCCACATGGTATTGGACCATAGGGAGAGACCCTGACTGTAGCTAAATGCTCCAAAGGTGAATCTATTGTTGAGTTTATCTGTTGTTTATCTTAAACCTGTTGTTTCTGGAACATGTCGGTGATAATCTCATTATTTTCTGATTTACAAATCTATACGTAATGATTGGTCATAGTCTCATGGTCCTCTTTACACATGGTTTTGACCAAAGCAGCGGATGTTGGATCAGTTTAATAAATGTGAATACATCTGTTCATATATGTAAATACATCTGTTAAATATAAATATAATTTAAATTTAAATATCTAGGGCGATAGAAGCTCAGTTGGTAGAGCATTGGCCTTAAGGCCAGAAGGTCGTGGGTTCAATTCCCACCTCTACAACTTCTCCACCAACTCCCACTGATGACTGCTGTCGTTGTGTCCTTGGGCAAGACACTTAACCCCACTTTGCCCAAAGCCCCCACTGAAAGATCAAGGCTATGCTCACACTCAGAGAGCAGCCGTGCTCCTGTGGACTCACCACCTGCAGAGGGTCAGTGAGGGGCTGGTGCTATGAGACTTGGGTGGCATCTCTGACTGCCACCCCCCTGACCCAGAAATGGATTAAAGGGTAGAAGATGGATGGATGGATGGATGTTTAAATATTCTGAGTTTTCTGATATTTGCCGTCTGCAGTAAAACCACATTGGAATACTTGTGCAAAAGTCCCCAGTGCGCAGCAGCCCTATGTTCCCATGTCCTGATGCGTGGTCCATGTTCCCAAATGTTGTGGTGCAGAGGGGGCGGGGCGTCCCTCTGTCGCCATGGTAACACACACAGGCATCTCAGAGGAGGATAAAAGTTCTTTGTCCATGAGTCTGATTCAGTTACATTGGCGACACAGTGGCTGAGTGGGAAGGCCCTGGGTTCGATTCCACCTCCAGGCCTCTCTGTGTGGAGTTTGCATGTTCTCCCCGTGTCTGCCTAGGTTTCCTCTGGGTGCCACGGTCTCCCCTACCACTAAAAGCATGTACAGTTGGTCTGAATGTGGAGGGTGAATGGTGTTTGGTTCGAGTCTCGCTTCTGTCGTCGCCGTGTAGGAAAGTACTCTGTAAAGTGCTTTGGCTGTAAAAATGTGCCACATAAATAAACATTACTTACTTCCTCACATGGTGCACAGTCACAGCAACAAACTCTGTCTGTGTGTGTCTGTGTCTCTGTGTGTGTGTCTCTGTGTCTGTGTCTGTGTCTCTGTGTGTGTCTGTGTCTCTGTGTCTGTGTCTCTGTGTGTGTGTCTCTGTGTCTCTGTGTCTGTGTCTCTGTGTCTGTGTCTCTGTGTGTGTCTCTCTGTGTCTGTGTGTGTGTGTCTCTGTGTGTGTGTCTCTGTGTCTGTGGCTCTGTGTCTGTGTCTCTGTGTCTGTGTCTCTGTGTGTGTGTCTGTGTCTCTGTGTGTGTGTCTCTGTGTGTGTGTCTCTGTGTGTGTGTCTCTGTGTCTGTGGCTCTGTGTCTGTGTCTCTGTGTCTGTGTCTCTGTGTGTGTGTCTGTGTCTCTGTGTCTGTGTCTCTGTGTTTCTGTGTCTCTGTGTCTCCTCTGTGTCTGTGTCTCTGTGTGTGTGTCTCTGTGTCTGTGTCTCTGTGTTTCTGTGTCTCTGTGTCTCCTCTGTGTCTGTGTCTCTGTGTGTGTGTCTCTGTGTCTGTGTCTCTGTGTGTCTGTGTCTCTGTGTCTGTGTCTCTGTGTGTCTGTGTGTCTGTGTCTGTGTCTCTGTGTGTGTGTCTGTGTCTCTGTGTCTGTGTCTCTGTGTTTCTGTGTCTCTGTGTCTGTGTCTGTGTCTCTGTGTGTGTGTCTCTGTGTCTGTGTCTCTGTGTCTGTGTCTCTGTGTCTGTGTCTCTGTGTGTGTGTCTGTGTGTCTGTGTCTCTCTGTGTGTGTGTTTGTGTCTGTGTGTGTGTCTCTGTGTGTGTGTGTGTGTGTGTGTGTGTATGTGTCTTAGTGTCTGTGTGTGTGTCTGTGTCTGTGTGTATGTGTCTGTGTCTCTGTGTGTGTCTCTGTGTCTCTGTGTGTGTGTGTGTGTGTGTTTGTGTCTGTCTGTGTGTGTGTTTGTCTCTCTGTGTGTGTGTCTCTCTGTGTGTGTGCGTGTCTCTCTGTGTGTATGTGCGTGTCTCTCTGTGTGTGTGTGTCTCTGTGTGTGTGTGTGTGTGTCTCTCTGTGTGTATGTGCGTGTCTCTCTGTGTGTGTGTGTGTGTGTCTCTATGTGTGTGTGTGCGTGTCTCTCTGTGTGTATGTGCGTGTCTCTCTGTGTGTATGTGCGTGTCTCTCTGTGTGTGTGTGTGTGTGTCTCTGTGTGTGTGTGAATAGAGGTGCTCTCTTCTCTTTGTTGTAACTCGTCTGAAGCTGAAAAGCCTCTTCTTCCTGTGACTCGTTCTGTTCAGTGAAACTGGAATGTCCTGTTGAAGCCTCAGCGTCTCAACCTCAGGTCCCCGGACAGTCCTGCTACATGTTCAGGCCCCGGGGTGTGTGTGTCTCTGTGTGTGTGTCTGTGTCTTTGTGTGTCTCTGGGGTGTAATGTGTGTTGTGGGGGTAGTGATGGTGGTGTTGGGGGTGTGTGTGGGGTGTGTGTAGGGTGATGGGGGGGTGTGTGATGGTGTGTGTTTGGTGTGTGTGTGTGTTGTGGGGTGAGTAGGTGTGTAAGGTGGTGTGTGTGGTAGTGTGTGTGGGGGTGTGTGGTGTGTGTGGGGGGATGTAGTGTGGGTGTGTGTTGGGAGTGTGTGTGGTGTGTGTGTGGTGATTAGTATGTGGGGGGGTGGTGTGTGTGTTGTGTGTGGGTGAGTGTTGGGTAGTGTGAGGGGGGAGTGTGTGGGTGGTGTAGTGGGGGTGAGTGTGTGGAAGTGTGATGGTGTGTGAGTGGGGATGATTGAGTGTGTTGAGTGTGTGAGGGTGAGTGTGTGGGGGGGTGTGTGTGTAGTGAGGGGGGGTTGATGTGTGTGTGTGTGGGGATGTGTTTGGGGATGTGTGTGTGGGGTAGTTGTGGTTTGTGTGTGTGTTGGGATGAGAGAGGGGGGTATTTGTAGGATGGTGTTGTGTGGGGTGAGAGAGTGTTGTGGTAGTGGTAGTAGTGTGGATGAGTGATGAGGTGATTGTTGAGGGGTTGTGTGTGGGGGTGTGTGTTGTGGGGAGTGTAGTGTGGGGGGTGTGTGTAGGGTGTGTGTGTGGGGGTGTGTGTGTGGGTGTGAGTTGATGATGGTAGGGGTGTGTGTTGGGGGGGTGTGTGTGAGGGGGGTGATGTGTGGTGTGTTGTGGGTAGTATGGTGGTGTGATGAGTGGGGAGAGAGATGTGGGGTGTGTGAATGTGGGGAGTGTTGGGAGTGTAGTGGGGGGGGGATGTGTGTGGGTTGGTATGAGAGGGTAGTGTGTGGGGGGTGTGTGAGTGTGTAGTGGGATGTGTGGTTTTGTAGTGTGGTGTGTGAGGGGGATGTTGATAGGAGTTAGGTTAGTGGGGGGTGTGGGGGTGTATGGGGGTTTGTGTGTTGAATTGGAAATTGTTTTTGGGTGGTGTGGTGGGTGGGGGGGGGGGAGGGATGGTTTGGGGGGGTGGTTGGGTTTTGGGTGGTTAGGGGGGGGTGGGGTGTGGGGGTTATGGGGGGATGTGGGGGGAGGGGTTGGGTGTTGGGTGTTGTGGGGGTAGGTGGGTGTTAGGTGGGTGGGTAGATTTATGGGGGTGGGTGTGTGGTAGTGTGGGGTGGTGGTGGGGGTGGGGTGGTGGGGGGGGGGGGGTGGGGTGTTTGGTAGGGGGGTGGGGTGGGGGGGGGGGTTTGGGGGGAGGGGGTGTGTGGGGTGGGGTTGGGTTGGGGGGAGATGGGGGGGTGTTTGGATTGGGTGATGTGGTTAGTGGTGGGTATTGGTAAGGTAGTAGTGGGGTTTGGTGTTTTTGGGTTTGGGTGTTGTATTGGGGATTTTTGGGGATATGTTTTGGGAGTGTGGGGGGGGGGTATATTGGGTAGGAATGGGTGTTGTGTGGGGTAAGATGGGTGATTGGAATGGTATGAGTGTATTGTTGGGGGGTAGGTAATGGGTTTGTGGTGTTGGGGGGGGGTTGGGGGGGTGTTTGGGGGTTTGAGGGGGGGGGTGGTGGTGTGGTGTGGGGTGGGTGGGGGTGGGGGGGGGGGGTGGATGGGGGGGGGGGGATTGGGTGGGGGATGGGGGGGGGGGGGTGGGGGGTAGTGTGTGTGGTGGGGGGTGGTGTTGTTTTTTGGGGGATTTTTGGTTTTTGTGGGGGGTGGGGGGGGTTTTTTTGGGTGTTGGGGTGGGTGGGGTGGGGTGTTATGGTTTTGGGGGGGGTTTTGGGGGGGTGTGTTGGGGGGGTGGGGGTGTGGGTTTGGTGGGGGGGTGGGGGGGGGTGGGTTGAGTTGTGTGGGTTGGTTTGGGGTTGTGGGGGATGTGTTTGTTTGTGGGGGGGGGTGGGAGGTTTGGATGGTTGGGGTGGTTGGGGGGTGGTGGGGGTTGTTGGGTGTTGTTTGTTTTGGGGGGGGTGTTGGGGGGGGTGGTTGTTTTGGTGGGTGGGGGGGGTTGGTGTGGTGGGTGGGGTTGGGAGTTGGGTGGGGGGTGGTGGGTGTGGGTGTTGGTTAGGAGTTTTGGTGTGGTTGGGGTGGTGGGGGGGGGTGGGGGTTGGGGGGGTGTTGGGTGGGGTTGGTGGGTTAGGGGTGGGGGGGGGGGTGTGTGGTGGAGTGTTGGGGGGGGTGGGGGGTGGGTTGGTGTGGGGGTGTGTGGTGTGGGGTGGGGGGTTGGTGGTTGGGGGTTGGGGGTGGGGGTTGGTGGGGTTGTGTGTGGGGGGGTTTGGGGGGGGGGGGTGGTTGGGGGGGTGTTTGGTTTGGGGGTGGGGGGGGGGGGTGTGGGGGGGGGTGGGGGTTGGGGGTGTGTGGGTTGTGGGGGTGTTGGTGGGGTGTGTGTTGGTGTTGTTGGTTGGGGGGGGGGTGGTGGGGGGGTGGTTGGTGTGTGTTGTGGGGGGGGGGGGGGGGGTGTGGGGGGTTGGTTGGGTGGGTTGTTTTGGTGGGTTTGGTGTTTTGGGGGGGGGTTGGTGGTAGTGGGTTTGTGGGTGTGGGGGGGTGGTTGTGGTTTGGTGTGATGTGGGGTGGGGGGGGGGGGGTGGGGGGGTGAGGGGGTGGGGGTTTGTGTGGGGGTGTTTGGTGGGGGGGGGGGGGGGGGTATGGGGGGGGTTGGAGGGGTTTTGGTGGGGTGGGGTGGTTGGGGGTGTTTGGGTGGGGTGTGGGGTGGGTGGGGGGGGGTTGTGGGGGGGTGTGGGGGTTGGGTGGGGGGGTTGTGGGGGGGGGGGTGTGGTGGGTGGGTGGGGGGTGGTTGTGGGGGGGTGGGGGGGGGGGGGGGGGGTGGGTGGGTGGGGTGGTGGGGTTAGGGGGTTGGGGGGGGGGGTGGGGGGGGGTTGGGGGGGGGGGTGGGGGTGGTTTGTGGGTGTGGGGGGGGGTGGGGGGGGGGGTGGGGGGGGTGTTGTGGTGGGGGGTTTTGGTTTGGTGGGTGTAGTGGGTTTGGGGGGGGGGGGGTGGGTAGGTGTGGGGTGGTTTTGGGGGTGTGGTGGGGTGGGTGGGGTTTGGGGGGGGGTGTTTGTTTGGGTGGGTATGGGGTATTGTGGTTTGGGGTGGGGGGGGGGGGGGGTTTTGTTTTGTGGTGTGGGGGGGGGTTGTTGGGGGTGGGGGGGTGTGGTTTTGGGGGATTGAGGGGTGGAATGGGTTGTGGTTTGTGTTGGGTGGATGGGTTGGGGGGGGGTGTTGTTGGGGTTTGGGAAATTGATGGTTAGGGTGTGTTTAGGGGGTGGGGTTTGGGAATTTGTGGGGTTGGGTGGGGGGTTGGGTGGGTTGGTGGGGGGTTGGTGTGGTTGGTGTGGTTTGGTTTGTGTGAGGTTGGGTGGTTGTGGTGTGGTGTGGTGTGGTAGTGGGGGGGTTTGGGGTGTTAGTTGTTGTTGTATATGTATAGTTATGTAGTGGTGTGTGTGATGGAAGTAGTGGTGATGTGGTGTGTAGGGGTAGTGATGTTGAGTTGATATGTTGTGTTATGTTGATAGAGTGTATGTGTGGAGTGTGAGATGGGAGTGGAGTGTAGTGTAGTTAGTTAGTAGTATTGAGTAGGTTAGGGTTTTTGAGGAAAGGATGTGGTGGTGTAGTAAGGTGGAGTAGAGAGAGGATAGGTTTGTTGAGGTGAGGAGTAGTTTTGGTGGAAGGGGTTAATGGTTGGTTAGGTGGGTGGATGATGTGTTATGGTAGTGTAGAGTTATTATTGATTTATTTAATTAATGTAGAGTTGTAGTTTGGAGTGTAGTGGTTATGTTGGTGTGTAAGGTGTGTAGTGGGGGGGGGTAGGAAGGGGGGGTGTTTGGGGTTGTTGTAAATGGTGGGGAAAGATAGGGGGGTTGGTGGGTTAGTGTTTGGGTGGGTGGGTGGGTGGGGGGTTGGGGGGGGGGGTTGTGTGGGGGGGGGTTGGGGGGATGGGGGGGGGGGTATATGGTAGAGGGGGGGGGGGGGGGGGTTTTGGGTTTAGTGGGGTTTAGGGAAGTGTGTGGTTGGGTGGTGTGGTGAGATAGGGGGGGGTGGGGGGAGGGTGGTTTTGGAGGGATGGGGTTGTATGGGGGGGGGGGGGGTTGATGGGTTGTTTATTGGGGGGTTGGGTGGTTGGGGGTGGATAGGGGGGGGGGGGGGGGGATTGGTGGTGTGGTATGAGGAATGATATAAAGGTGGGGTGGGTATAGAATGAGGGGGGGGTATGGGAAAGGAGAATAGGGATGGGGGGGTATGGGTTGAGGGTAGGAGTGGGGGGTAAGGTATGAGATTGGAGTTTTATAGGGGAGAGGGGTGGAAGAATGGTAAGTGAGAGTAGGAGAAAGATAAGAGGGGAGAGAGAGAGAAGAGAGAGGGGTAAGAGAGAGATGTAGAGAGAGAGATATATGGAAGGGGAATGTATAGGGATGAAGAATGGGAGGGGGAAAAATGTGTTTATAGTGAAGGGTTTTTGATGTGTTATTGTTTGGGTGGGGGGGGTGTGGGAGGAGGGGGGGAGAGAGAGGGGGAGAGAGTGTGGGTAGAGGGGGAGGTGAGAGAGGGGGGGAGAGAGAGGGGGGGATTAGATTATGAATAGGGTAGAAATAGGGGGGATAGAGAAGAGAGGGGGGTGATAGAGGGGAGAGATAGGAGAGATAAGGGGGAGAAAATAGGGGATAGATAGGGAGAGTAAATGGTGGAGAAATATTAGAGATAGGGAGGGAGAGAGAGAGGAGAGGGGAGGGGGAGTGGAGGAGTGAATGGGGGGGGAAGGGGGGGGTGGTGTTTGGTGGGGAAGGGGGGGGGGGGATTTAGGTGGTGAGAGAGATTGGGAGGTGGTGTGGGATAGGTGGGGGATATGTTGGGGTTATAGGAGGTAAGGGGGTAAGAGGTAGGGGGAGAGGGGGAGATGGTGGGGTTGTGGATGGGATTTGTGTGGGGTTGGGTATAGGTGTGATATTAGGAGGGAGATGTGGAAATGAATATAATATGGTTTAGGTGTTTGTGGGTAGGGTGTGAGGGTGGATGGGGGGTGGAATGTTTGTTAGGGGGGGGGGGGGGGGGTTGGAGGTGTTATATTTTGGGGGAGGGTGGGGTTATTAATGTGTGGTGGGTTGTGAATGTTGTGTGGGTAATGTTTGGGTGGGTGTAATGTTGAATATTGTTGTAGGTGGGTGTAATGTGGTTTTGGTGTAATTGTGTGTGGAATTGGTGGTGGTGTGTGTTTTTGTGGGTAATTTTTGTGGAATGTGGGTATTTTTTGTGGTGTTTAAATTGGGTAATGGGTGGGGGTTTTGTGGATGTTTGGTTGTGGTTTGTTGGGGGGGTTTTTGGTGGATGGGGTGGGGAGTGGGGTTAAGGGAGAGGAAAGGGAGGGATTATGGGGGGGGGAATGGTAGTATGGTTGTGGGTGGGGGTAAGGAGGGAAGATAAACGATGATTATAAGGGGTGGAGGGATATGAGGATATAGAAAAAGTTAGGGGGGACATTTGAGATAGGAAGAAGAATTTTAGGGGATGAATGTTAAAAATAGTAAGGGTGGGTGGTTATAGTGGGTGTAGATGGGATGGTATTAGGAGGTATTTGATGGAGGATATGGGTGGTGGGGGTGTTGGGGGAAAAATTGGGGAGAGTTGATGTGGTTTGGTTTTTGATTAGTGGTTTTTGGGGGGGGGGGGGGGGGGTTTTTTTGTTTGTGGGGGGGTTGTTGGGGATTGTTGTGGGGGGGGGGGGGGGGGGGGGTTTTGGTAGTGGAGTTGGGGGGGGGTTGTTATTTTAATTGTGTGGGGATTAATTGTTGGAATTGTGTTAATTGTGTGTGGTAGGTTGGTGAGGGAGTTGTGGTGTTAGTGTGGGTAATTTGTGTAATTTGGTGGGGTAAGTGTTTTTATAGG